GTGAAGAGAAGAACTACATTTTATATATTCAGATATTTTCACATTGATTCTGAGTTTTTTTTTAAAAACAAACTCGAAACATTTTAAATTAATATATTTTGAAGTTAGAAGATCTTGTTAACTTGATAATACATTTGTGACATATATAATACTTTAATTTAAATAAAAATACCTACCCAAATATAAATATATATTTGAATTAATGAAAAATTTATCTCATAAAATTAACTGTTAAATAAAAAAAAAATTAAACTAATACAAACTTCAACTGGCGTTATTACAAGTCATATGAACTTCTCTTCGTCTAAAATACTGAAATATTAAGAAATAGTAAATAAGTAAAACAAAAGGGTAATGTTTGTATAGTAATTACTATTTTGTAGTAAACTTTATGAGAGTCTAAATCACATAAGTAGCATTGATAAATAAAGTCATTCTTTTGTCTTGAGCATAAAAAACAATTCCTGACAATTCTCTAAATTTTGGAAAATATATTCAGAAGCATATATCTACATCACAAGAGAATTTGTAAACAAAAACAAATGAATTTAGACTACATCATGTTAACTTCATATATTGGAACATTACATACTAATGTATATATTAAGCAATTTTTTTTATTATATCATTAAAATTATTTTCCTCAAGTACTCGAGGTTATGAAATATACCCTCTTAGGATAGAACGACTTAATTCATCAGAATAGTGGTACCTCAAATCTGCTAAACTTCGGACTCACTCAACGACAATAAATCACACAAAAAAAGTTAAAATGCAAGAAGAAGAAGAGTAGAAGATTAAAAAAATTGTGGTTGAAAAAATGAGAGGAATCCCCTCTATTTATAGTCAACAAAGGATAGTATGAACAAATGTTTTTTGTGTCTTTTCTGAAAAGTCATGCCCTTTTCGAGAAATCACAACCCTTTGGAAAAGTCACAACTAAGCTCTTTGGAAAAATCACAACCCTTTGGGAAAAGTCACAACTTATCGGAAAAGTCACAACTCATCGAAAGAGTGACCTTTCCGAGAAGTCACAACCCTTTGAAAAAGTCACAACTCATCAAAAAATCACAACCCTT